AAAATAACATGCCATTTCTTTAAAAGTTCTAAAACTATTTTGCCAGCACCATTTGAATAAGGTGATTGACAACTTTGGGAGGTGATAGTATTCATTTAAATTTATTATTTTAGTTATATTCTAAACTAACACATCACATCTTGCTAAGCAAAGAATTGCCATTGCATGTAGTTAATTAATATCCTCAGGTCTTAACTAGTTTAGGCAAACAGGATTGATTTGTTTCATCCTCACTCCTTTTGAGTGTTACCATTGACTGTATAGGCTGCAGGTAGTCCTAAGTTAGTCATAAGTTGGTTGGTTGTTTTAAAATCCACTCACCTTCCTCTTTAAAAAATTTACATGCCAACTCATAATACTTGCTGCTTTTCGAGAGGTGATTGGTAACAGATGTTTTCTCAAACATATTAGATACCTATTGGCCTTTTTACTGTATAAGCATGCATTATTCATAAATATGAAACATCTGGCTTTTCCTCCCACTTGTTTTATAACACTGCCTATTTCATAGATTTAAAATATAACACTTTAATGAATCCCACACCACTGTGAAACTTACTTTAATATGAGATACTTTTGAGAACTTCTAACCTCTAGTATACTACCTCTGGAAAGACTGGTATCAGACATTCGGGTATCAAAGTGGTATGCAAAATTTTAAAAAGAGAGTTTTCTATAATGAGACGTTCTCTGGTAGTTACAAATCTAAGATACTTGCATAAAACTATAAATTCTATACAGCTAAACTTAAAACAGTTGTACAATGTTGCCACATATAGCCTACAAAGAATTATGGGATTGCTGTGTACAAGCTAATATGCCAATATTTAACCTTGAAAATTTACTTTTTTTATACTTTTTTTATAGTCTTCTGTACGACATTGTCCTATGGTATAGTCTATATCACAGTCCTTTATCATTTACATTTATTATATGTAAGAGTTAATTTTTCAAGAAATTATTAGTTGTTATTTGTCCAGTAACCTATAAATTGATATGCTTTTTTTTTTTGCCTTGTTCTTCTTTGCATAAATAGGTAATTATGACATTAGCTGAGGATTTGCTGTGTTCTGCTACTCAAAACAGTCGCCTTTCAGCTCAGCGCACACAAGCTGGATGGTTGTTGATTGCTGCTCTCATGACATTAGGTAACAGTCTTGTGGAGGTTTGCATAATTATGAACTACCTTCTGTTTTTTGAATGTAAAATATTGTAATGGATGATTCAACAAGACTAACTTTTAACATATACCAAAATTTAAATAGCCACACAAACATTTGTTTTCTAGCAATCACCTAGAAAGCCATATACTTACTCCATTCCTCAAAATGTTTTCAGATCTCTTCATTTGAAATTCTCTTCAAGACCAGTTTATGAACCTTAATTAGGATAAGCCAATTTGATCGTCTTTTCAGGCTTAACTTAGAATGACTGTGTTTTTTCCAAAAATCATTCACATCCATTGGCAGAAAAAAAAAAAATTCTGCAGAATTAGGATAGGCAAGAGAACATACTATATAGACTGTGAATCCATTTCTGTAATTGTGATCATTGGTAACACCAATCAGGTAGTTACATTGAAGGGTTAGGGCTCATTTAAATTATTTTTTTAAAATCAGTATTTATATTATGGTCATGACATTATATCCTATAACTTTGAAACTCCATTTTATTACTTTATTAAAGCTATATTTTAAATCTCTATAGTCATGATTTATTGCTAGGACGTAAAACTAGCCGGATTTAACCAATAAATCATTTGGACACCCATGAAGTCATTTGGTCTAAAAGGAGCTTAAATTAAAATAAGCAATTATAAATGAAGAACCACTTTAAGTAATGTTCTTGAGATGATTAAAGAGATTTATGCGACTAGATCAGGGTTCATCCTGTGGGCCAGGTTTGCTTGCCACCTATTGTATACAGCCTGTGAGCTAAGAATGGTTTTTACATTTTTAATGGTTAATAAAAAAAGACTATTTTGTGACATGAGAGTTATATGACAGTCAGTTTTCAGTGTCCATAAATAAAGTTTTACTAGAGCACAGCCACAATCACTCGATTACATATGATCTGTGGCCTTTAGGCTCTACAGTGGCGGGATTGAGTAATTGCAACAGAGTATTTGCAGCATTTTGGCTTTCAAAGCCAAAAATGTTTACTGTCTGGCGCTTTACAGAAAATGTGTGTTGGCCCCTGGCATAGGTCATCATTTCACAATGTGATGGAAATAATGTGGCCAAGCTTTTATTTCCTTTTGGCTAGATGTTTCATGCCTGCCATATTGATATTTTTGGTTAACTCAAGGGGAACGTAAACTACTTAATAATAGTGAGCAAAGAATGTTGAATTAGCCTTACTTTGCTTTAGGAATTAGCAATGGCTTCTTCCTAAAAAGCAAGTCAGAAAATAAATGGAGAAATTAATTATACTTTAAACTACAAATTGCATGCATAAAAAGAACATTGGTTTGCAGTTACCTGTTCCCTTTGCTGTTAGACTCATTTCTTTATATGCAAATAAGGCCATTTTTGGATTATAATTCCATAATGACAACCATTATATAAGTGTTTACCAAGAGTCAAACACTGTTCTTCTATATATAAACTTATATAAGTCTTAGAAAGTATCCAATGAGGTAAATATTGTTGTCATTTCCATTTCTAGATGAGGAAATTGAGGCACAAAAAGGTTAAGTAACTTACCCAGCTTTACACAGCATGTGAATGGAGTCAGGATGTTAATCTAGGTGGTCTTGTTCCAGACCTGCTATCTTGCCATACTATAGAAGAAAAACATGCAATCAGCAGAACATAGGAATAAGAAATAGGGAAAACTTATAGGAGATTTTTAAGATAACCCCAGAATTTTAAAGAAAATTTGGTGGAGAAAAAGTATATGTTTTGGTTTTTATACTTTCTAGTTTTTTTTGTTTTGTTTTGGTTTGGTTTTTTTCCTTAACTGATAATGCTGGCAAATAAAATACTGTCATTATACATTGCCTTTCATTACTGGATTTATGTATTCATGATTCCTAGTTCATAAATGATGTTGCTCGGAAATCTTCTAAAAAATTCCATTCAGATGTACCACATCTGCTATTTGGTCTGGAACCTGTAGCTATCAAAGGTTAGCATTACTCTCAGGATGCAACGTTATTTGTTACTAAAACAGTAGTATCTTGCATTTACGTGTTTATTACAGTTTTTCAGACTAATGTAAAGTGTGCTGTCATTTGGATCAGACAAACCCTTGGAGACAAGCAGTTCAGATGGTTCTGGCTTCATTTTATAAATAAAAGAAAGAGCCTCAAAGAGGTCACAGCAGTAGTAGTAGAGGAGCTGATGCCAGAGCCCAGACTTAACTCTAGTTCCTTGTTTTTCCTCTGCTTTCAGATAATAATTCATTCAGTAGTATATTCGTTGGAACTAGAAGGTAAGAAAAGGGAGAAAGTATTACATTAGTGAATTACAATATTTATTTTCGGAGGGAAGTTCCTGCTTATTAATAGAGTTTTAAAGAGCAAGCACTTTGGGTTCTTTTATAATTGATGAGTTGAATAAATTACAGGTTCAGCAGTTGTCAGTCATCACCTTGCTCGCGTTCTGCTCTTGTGGAAGTGTGTCTTTCCAGTGACTCCTAAAGATCTAGAAACAGAAAAGAGCCGAGGAGATTCATTTACGTGGCAGGTCACCCTAGAAGGACGAGCCGGTGCTCTCTGTGGTAGGTTGAGTTTAGTCTTTTCTCTCCCTTTCCTTGCTTTTCCCACTCTAACTTCACACAAGCTTGTATGTTTAATTTAAGAGGGAAAAAATCTGCTTGTGGTGATCTTTTGGTAATTGAATATAATCGATCAGTTGGTGATTGTAGCAAAAGTGTAATGTAATAAAACCAAATTGAAGAGTTCTAATCCTTAGGTTAATAGTTGAGAAATGTCAAGACTGCTTTGTCTTATTCATGGTATTTTTATTCTTAAAAAGGAAAAAGAATTTGAAATTAATCTTAAAACTCAGACTAACTTTAAAA